CAATGACACTCGGGGCAGTATCTGCTACATTTTTTTGGTAGCTCCATTTTGCATTTTAAACCTTTCAACAGTCATTGTTTGTATGCTTATCTCAACTTCCTTATTTGTACTGTTAACAGTGGCTAGTACATCATACATAATGAGCAACTCATAGTGACACAGGAATTTTGGTGTGAAGGCTGCCAGAGATTGTCCCCAAGGCCCCATACCTGTGAGGCAGACATCTTAAACTGCTACATCCAGGCTATGAAGCAATTTTTTGGTTTGTTTTGGGTCCACATACAAGAGTGTTCAAGGGGATACTTCTGGCTCTGTGCTCAAGGTGCTTGGGGAACTGCATGTGGTTCGGGGATTGAATCCAGCGCAGTTCTGGCATCAGGTGCTAGGCATTCTCCTTTCCTGAAATACCTTTCTTCTGATTTGTAAGGAGAGTGGTTACATTCAGTTCAGCTCGTCTCGATGGAAGCCAATGCAGCAAACTGAACAGAAAAACTATATTAGACATCAAAACTGGCTTTGTAGAGCTCAGAAACGATTCCCTTCCTTGCCCCAACCCCCACCCTCACCCCACACACCACATGAGACAGGCTGCTTCATCTCCGGAATGTTCTAGCTGACTGCTCTGCATCCTTGTTCTCACTCCCAAACTCACAGCTTCTAGTGGGAGCCCTTCAACTGCCCCCATCCAGGCTGCCCCGACTCCTTTAAGAGAAATTGTTTCTGTTTGGGGGCTACAACTAAAGGTTCTCAGAATTTAATCCTGGCTCTGTGGTAACTCCTGGTGGTGCTCATGGAACTTAGCCCGGGTTGACTGGCTGCAAACAAGGCAATAATCTTACTTGCTGTACCATCGCTCCAGCCCCAGAAAAGGGATCTTTTTTTTTTTTCAGCAGCAGTACATCAGAAAGGATAAGTTTCCACCACTTTTTTTTTGGGGGGGGGGCGGAGGGGGGCGCACTCCCTGATGCTCAGGGGTTACTCCTGGCGCTGCTCAGAGGACCATATGGGATGCCAGGAACTGAACCTGGATCAGCTGTATGCAAGGAAAGTGTCCTACCCTCTGTACTATTGCTCCGGCCTCTAGATCTGTATCTCTAGATCAAACTTGCAGTTTTACAAGTTGGGAGCTGGAGAGGGCACTCAATGGGTTATGCACATGCTTTGCATGCAGGAGGTCTGTATTCAATCCCTGGAAACAAATGGTGCCCTGAGCAGTGTCAGAAGCAACCCCAAGCAGGATTCTGCTGCTGGGTGTGATCCCCAAACAAAAAATAATTTTTAGAAAATGGAACAAATGAGAGGTCAGATACATATCAGTTGTGGGAAAGATGTTCTGTGCCATTAGTAATGGCACTGCATATTTAGACGGTATTCTTAAAAGTGGAAGGGATGAGGTTACAAAATACTGTTTTGAATACAGTAATACAGCTCTTGCCTAGAGATCGGTGGAAAAGTGTTTTGGAGTAAATATGAATTCTCTGTGGGGTTTGGGTTCCTGATATATATATATATATTATTATTATTATTATATTTTGGCTATACCCAGCAGTGTTTGGACCATACGGTACCAGGTATAGAAAGAACTTGGGGTTCCTGGGGTTAGAGTGAGAGTACAGTGGGTAGGATGTTTGCCTTGCACACAGCCGTCCCAGGTTTGATCCCCAGCATCCCATATGGTTCCCCAAGGAGAACCAGGAATGTTTCCTGAGTGCAGAGCCAGGAGCACCCTCAGGTGTGATCCCCTCCCCACAAAAAGACTTGGGGTTTCTGCATGTACAGCCTGTACTCCAGCCCTATGAGCCGTCTCCCCAGTCCTGGATCCCTGAATCTTCACACTGGAGATCTTAGTTCTCTTATTACATGTTTATGTATTTTGTAAAGTTAAAATGACTTACCAACTGGAGTTTATTATTCATGAATGCTGTTTTACCTCATTTCTACATTCTAAACTGATTATTTTATTACGTGAACCTGGGAATCTTAATTCTCTGCAAAGACTGGTTAATTCATCGAGTTCAGACTTGTTTGTTCGGCACCATACCTGTAGTTGCACTGGTGAGACTCAGGCAACCATGTGGTCTCAGGATTGAACCCAGAGTTCCTGCATGCAAAGCACGTGTTCCAGCCCCCAATCCATATCAGATTTTTAAAAAGTAAAAAACAGTAAAGTGCATGTGTGAGGCCTGTATTCAATCCCTGGAAACTCATGGTGCCCTGAGCACTGTCAGAAGCAACCCCAAGCAGGATTCTGCTGCTGGGTGTGATCCCCAAACAAAAAATAATTCTTGAGTGCAGAGCCAATTCCTGGGGTTCAATTCCTAGTACTGCACCACTACCCCACAAAAAAGGAAGGGTTTGTCAATAACAAAAGGATAAATTTGGGACTCAGAGGGCTAGAGAGATAGTATAGGGTAAGACATTCGCCTCATAAGTGGCTGATCTGGGTTCAATCTCTGGCACTCCTTGAGTCCTCCAGAAGTGCTCCCTGAGTGCAGAGCTAGGAGATTAAGGCCCAAAAACAAACCAACAAAAAATTGAAAACTAGTAAGTTGCTCTCATGAAAGACAGTCTAGGTTCTGGAGTATGGAAAAGGGTCATGATATTGAGAGAAATTTCTTCTGTATTTCCCACCTCTGGCTGAGGATACACATAAAATTCCAACCGAAAGCCTTAATGTTAAATCGCAACATGAATTATTATTGGGCCACAACCAGTGGTGCTCAGGGCTTACTCGAGGCTCTGCACTCAAGGATCACTCCGGATGGGCTCGGGGGACCATATGTGCTGCCAGGATCAAACCCAGGTTAGCCAAGTTCAAGGCAAATGCCCTACCTGCTGTACTATTGCTCCAGTCCTGCAACAAATATTCTTCACAATAAAAGGCTATTATTGATGCCATTGCATTTCAGAGTAAATGATCCTACTTCTGACATGATCTGAGCTAGATGAAACCTCTAGCCAGTTTACCCCTGGCTAGACTCTACCCAGTTTAGCCAGGTCACTCCCAGCAGTGTTCAGCGCCCATGTGATGTTGGGCATTGAAGCCAGGCCTTCTGCATACAAAGCATGCTCATCTATCTCTCTGTTCCCTACTAAAGAGTGATCTTAAATTTTGTAAAGTGAGGTTTACCAAAACCAGTATTAGTTCTACTTCTAAAATCCAGTTATTTGAAATTAGAGCCTCATTTTTCTATCCCTATTTTCCTCATGGAATCTGATTCCCCATGTTTTTCAGGGTTCAACTGGTTCCCAGGTTTCTATCAGACTGTCCTCCCATCCTCCCACTCCCAGCAACCACAGCTGCCCTTGTGTTCTAGCCAGTGAATTCTCCGCACCATTCCCCTTCCTCCCACTGCTGCCTCCACAGCATCCTCCACCCACTCTGTCTGGAACAGTCACCCACGTCCATCTGCCATTTTCTCTCCCTCCTCTCTATCTTATTATTGCCTCAAAAGCTCCTCTCCCAGGAAGTCTTCCTTAATCAAGATTAAGGAATCTTCAATCTACAATGGACATCACCTGACTGTGTCTAAGGCATCGCAAAACTGTAGAACAGCAATTATCTTTCATGCATGAGGCTATCCCTTTATAACCCAACTGAGGGTCACGAGTGTGGTGGAATGCTTTTTCTAAGAGATACATTTATGCAAAGAGATACATTTATACATTTAAACCATTTTTACAAATTATCCTTAAAGACTGAAGATGTTATTCTAATTCCTTCAGATCCTGAGATTCTTCTCCACTTGTCACCCCTAAATGAAGTTCCATCAACAACTTTCAGATATCTTTACATCAGTCACTGTTTAAATAGGGGATGGAGGATGGCTTGGTAGTAAACACCTTCCTGCCCGGTGGAGAGATACAGCAGCAAAGACACTTACTCGCCTTGCATGTGGCTGAACACCAGCACGACATATGGTCCCCAGTCCACTGAGCTGCGCCGAGGGATCCCTAATTCCCGAGTGCAGAACCAAAAGTGAGCCCTGAGCACTACTGGATGTGGCCTCCCAATAAAACCTAAAAACCTCAAATATGAAAAGCATCTGCTCCGTATGTAAGTTTAAGGCTGTGAGTTTGATTCTTGGTACCACCCTCATGCCTCAAGTATAGTCCCAGCTTGGATGTCTGAAAGTCCGCAGCGCCTAATAGAGTATGATCTCTGGTACTCAGCCAACAATGTGTGGGCACCAGGTCTACGGCTGTTTGACCCCGGCGAAGACTGCAATTAAAGATGTGCAAGCGCTGCAGCCCAGACTGTGACCTCCCTGCAGGAGCCACAGCCACGGAGCCAGAGTGAGCTTTGGCCCCTCAGTGCACGTGTGAAGGGCTCTGCGTGCACACGCGCATATGTGTGCTCAACTATGCTCCTCCCCCAGAGCCCGGTGGCAGAATGTGAGAGCACCAAAACTGAAAAACTGTGACAAGGAGAAGGCGAGGAGGGAAATAACAATAGCATATGGAAGACCTCTATTAAAAAAAAAAAGTCTTTCAAGTGGGTAATTCCAACAAAACGTAATATTTTAATTAGGTGTTTTGAATGCTGAAGGGATTAAACAATTAGCCAGCCACGATGCAATCTGTACAGATTCTGAAGTTATTTCTATACATGAGTTCTGCTTCGAATAGAAACCAGTTGGCCCTGACTCTGAGTTTGGCTTCTTCTGCGGTCAGGTTTGAGGGCCTGGTTTCAGATGTGGTGGGGTTACTCACCTTCCTATCTGGTGAGCCCCGCACATGAAACTGCTTTGCTTCTGTTTCAAAGGCAGCTTTTATGGCAGGCTGGCCTTTCACCTTTGAGAAATGAGGGTGCAGGCCTCAACCCAAGCAAAGCCAAGGCTAGATGCCTCATCTCCATCCTCAGAGCATGGCATCCTGGGAAGCCCAGGGGAAGAGCGGGGTGAGCCCGGGACACACATGGTGGCAGAGACAGCGGAGCGTGACAGGGCGGCCCCTAACGCCCTGCGTGTGCTTCTGTTACCAGAATATTCGACACCACAAATAGCAAAACATTTTAATCCATTAATTCTAAAAATAAGAGACATTTTACATCCGGTGCCGCCACCTCCTCAAAAGTCTATTGCAGCTGAGACAATCAGACTGTGAAAGTATAAAGCACACATTAAAAGTTAGAGACGCCGCTTTGGACCAGACCATCTCGGGAAGATTCTCCTCTCCTTTGCTTGTAACCAAGTTGTTGGTTTGGGGGAGAGGGTGGGGGGAGGGAGGGGAAAGAGAAAGCTTTCTCGTGCTCTATAAACCTTTCTCTCTATTTCTTAAACCCCTCTGTGATGTCTGAAGGCAGAGCGAGCCCAAAACCAACCTTCTAAGTCCCAGCATCTGAGCTGGGCTCCTGGGACTAAGTCCTGAGGTTCAGATCTATTTCTGCCGACACTGAGATGGGAGGTACCAGGGTTCTTGCTTTAGTTACAAGAGGTGTTGGGAATGAATGCCCACTCACATTTAATAATAGCTTATCTAGAACAGAACTCTGCAGCACAATGCCAGCAACGGGAGTGTGTTAAAGCAGGCTGGAGAAGAAAGGAGACATCAATACAACCGGAGGCTTCCTTTGTCCTTTGCCCCTCTTTTCAGAATGAGATGAGAATTCAGCTCGAAACAGCTCTCCCGAAAGGCCCCGTGTTGGACCGTGGCCTGCTGCGCTGAACTTGGGCTTCTGATGCCAGGCCTTTCGGGCCTCAGGCTTTAGTGATGTAGCCTTCTCGGATGAGGAAGTCATAGATTTTCCGGGTCTTGTTCACATCTATCTTAATGAGTGCTCTCGCTTGGGCCAGTCTCAAGCCTCCTTGCTTGCTACACTCATTCAAGAGAGCAGATTTATATTCTAAGTAGGCTCCTGGGACCAACCTCACCATCTGACAGAGCTGCAAGACACAAAAAATTTCAGACACATTAACATCCATCATTCTCATAACTGACTCCAACAGGTAGTGCCAAAATAAAATGCCAACGTGACATCAACCCCCAACTATTTATAGAAGCTGCGGGGTGGCTGGGCCACATTCCATTTGGTCTCTGCTCTGGACAGAACACTGCCCCCGAAGACAGAAAGGAGAGAAAGCGGGGAGGTGGAGGGAGGGGATGCTGCTGCCAGCACGTGCTGGGCGGCTCACCGGGGCTTGTCGAGGAGTAATACAAAGCATGTGTCTCGAGGAGCAGCCTGGGGAGAGGCCCAGCACATTCCTTGGGAGCCCGTCAGGGGAGCCACGGGGCACGAGCGGGGGTGTGTGCAGAAATGTGGCTCCCCGAGTGTGAATCACGGTGTCGTTAGTGTTGGCACCGGGATGTAGTCCCTGCCTCTGTGACTGCATTTCCTGCTCTGGGATCTTGCGAAAAGAAGCACAACCCCCACCCCCAACGGCTGCTGGAAACTGAGCTGGCTGGACTCCTCCACATCAGTATCCAGCAACGAGAAGTCGAAGGTCACTAGCTTGTGGCCAGGGACAAAACTGCCTGAAAGCGCAGCAATTTCATGCTTGAATTGGGACTCACCCGAGAGCCTCATTGGCAAGGCTTCAATACAACGTCCACTTTTCTCCTGTTCCCCGGCTAATTTTGCTCGCTTGTAAGTGAGCCTTGGAGATAATTCCAAAAATCTTTTTACATGCAGGTGTACGTTGTGTATTGTTGGAATAAGTGTAGAACTTCCCAAAGTGACCATTCTAAGAGGATTCATCTTTATATTAAAACCACATTTCACTAGCCAGAGAGATAGGACAGGGATTAAGAAAGAGCTTGCCAAGTATATGGCTGACTTGGGTTCGATCCCTGGAACAGTATCTGGCCCCTGAGCACAGCTAGGAGTGAGCGGAGGCAGGAAGGCCTGAGTACAGCTGGGTGCGGCCCCCAAACCTCAATAAAGTTCTTTACGTGTAGAAAACAAAACAAAACGTTTCATTAATCTAAAGAGCTGTATCTGGCACCTGGTGAATGCCCAATAACTGAGTCGCTCTTACTGAGGTTTTCTCCTGTATTGTTCTCTCAAAGGTGGTGGCCGGGACAGAGAGAGGCGTCTCTGAGACCTGCCAACCCTCGCCTTGGCTCTTACACTCCAGGGCAGAGTGGGCCGTGAGCTGTGTATGTTTGGTGAGCAAAGCAAAGTGGGTTTGATCCTGAAACTTGTGAATCACTGCAGAGTCAGCCCCACCCTCTTTCTCTGAACGCCCCTTCTTTTTGTTACCTCCTTTTCTTTGTCATTCAGCTTCTCTGTGCCAGGAAGGCCAGTGAGGTTCAGAGGCGGCGCACTTCGTCGACCTGTGGACAGACAAACAGACGGTAGAGAGCTCAGAGCAGAGCCGAGGGCTCGGGGTGAAGACAAAGTACTGCCCCTGCAGCCACCCCCACCAGGTGAGGACTGCTGCGACAAGGCGGGTGCTGTCCACCATCGCCCTGTGCCTCAGTTTAGCCAGCAACACGGATACCCCAAGGCTTATCTGAACACAAAAATGGCTGCTCACGTGCTCTTCATTCTGTTAAAAGTACACACATGATCACTCCAACCTTAACATCAGGTACGACCGCTTACACAGCGGTTCTAACCTACTTCTTCTCTTTTGGGAGGTGGGGTGGGGGTAGGGGGGAGTTACACCTAGCTGCACTCAGGGATCAAACCTGGCAGTACTTGGGGGACTGTATAGGGTGCCCAATATCACCTGGGTTGGCTGCATGCAAGCAAGTACCTCACCTGCTATCCTATCTCTCCAGTCCCACCTAATTCTATTTTTGGGGGGTGGGGCACACTTGGTGATGCTCAAGGCTTACTCCTGGCTCTGTATGCAGGGATCACTACTGGTGATACTCAGGGGACCATATGGGATGCCCGAGATCAAACCTGGGTTGGCTGCAGGCAAGGCAAATGCCTTCCCGGCTGTACTATCCCTCCCCACCCTCCCCCTCATCCCCACCTATTTCTTCTTAACCAAGTAGGAGATTCTAAAACCTAAAGCTGAGATGCCATCCAGTTGCGAAGTAGAGGGATGGAAATAGCAGCTCTGCAGGAGAGACATTCCTGAACCCCCACACTCTGCCAGCACTACACTGCAGAGCCAGTAATTAACAGGTGCCACTTGCCTTCAGATCAAAGGCAGACTGTTATGCCAGTGAAAGAAGGCCCTTCCCATTTATCATATGAAGGAATACCTGCTCCTTCCAAAGTCACCCTGTTTACCTGAAGGAACCACACACAAGCAGGGGCCAAGGTGATTTTTCAAGCATAAGAAACTTAGAACGAGGTCAGTGCAAGGACGGGATATTTGGATGTTTAAAATTGGTTTTGTTTTTGTTCTGAATATACATTCGGGTTAATGTTTACGTGTTGGGACTGAACGAAGCAGAAGAAAATGTAGGAGAAATGATATTTTATATTTGATGAAGGTGGCTGGTTTTTTGGGGGGGGGGGAAGGGAAGAAAGCAGAGGCACTTCTTCAGGGTGCCCTGGCGAAGAAGCAGGCGATCGTGGAGTATCAACAAGCTGGGAAGGGCTTCTCCACAGCCAACAGGCCCAGTAAGGGGCCCACATCACTTGGGGCCTCAATGAAATGCCAGTGGCAAGATTACATCCGGATGTTGGCTTTCTACTTGGCACTCACTGCCTTAGGAGCAACTCAAGAACATGAGAGGGACTACGCGACCTCTTCAACTCGAATGGAAAAGGCTAATAAAACACCAGTTCGGTGTTGGTGGCACAGAAAACACATATTCCAAAGTCACACAGTCGCGTCCCTTCACTCATTTTTATTTATTTATTTATTTATTTATTTTTGGTAGGGGTGGGTTATACCCTGCAGTGCTCAGGGCTGACTCTTGGCTCTGCACCCAGGGATCACTACTGGGAGACTTGAAGGACCATATTGGGGTGCTAGGGGAATCAAACCTGAGTCAATTGTGTTTAAGACAAGTGCCCCCCTCACACCCCCCATCCACTGTACTATTACTCCAGCTCTAAGTCTACTTCTTTCAGTGAGCCAATGGTATCTATATTCTGGTATTTAGATTGGGGCAGAGGTTACAAGAAATGTAACCGATAAACTTGCATTTAACTTTCCTTACTAAGAGGCTCTCTTTCCCCCTTCATGTATTAAGAAATGACTTGGGGGGCTGGAGCGATGAACAGCAGGTAGGGCATCTGCCTTGCATGTGGCCACTCTGGGGTTGATCCTCTATATCCCACATGGTCCCCTGTGCCCACCAAAAGAAATTACACCAAAAGTAATTTCTGAATGCAGAGCCAGGAGTAAACCGAGAGAAGAGAGGAGAGAGGAGGAGATGGAGAGAGTACATGGAGAGAGGAGAGAGGAGAGAGAAGAGAGGGGGAGAGGGGGAGAGGGGAGGAGGGGGACAGAGGAAGGAAGGAAGGAAGGAAGGAGGGAGGGAGGGAGGGAAGGAAGGAAGGAAGGAAGGAAGGAAGGAAGGAAGGAAGGAAGGAAGGAAGGAGGGAAGGAAGGAAGTTGAAACAAGGCAATATCCTTAAAGTGGCTCCTCCTGACCTGTGTCCAGGACTGAGTATACTGAGCAATTCTGAAATGGGATCATAAAGTCAGCTGTGCCAAATATCCAAGGAATGGTAAAACTGCAGAAGGGTAAGAGTTTTGCCTCACTGGGGTGATCCTTATGTTCTAATAAGGGGAAGCAGCTGATCTAGCACAGGGGGCAAAATGAGTGATAACCAAGAGAACAGACAAAGAAACACCACTATTAGGGCAGAGAGTATTACAGTAGTTATGGTGTTTGCCTTATACGTGGCAGACCAAGGTTTGATCCCTGGCACTCCATATGGTCCACTAAGAACTACTGGCAGTGCCCCAACAATGAAAAAAAAAATCTGTGGTAAATGCAAAGTTTTAGAAAAAGTTTCTTATATACATTGGTAAAATAAGAAAACACCTAGAATTCTTTCTTCCTCTTCCTCTGTACTCTAGCCCTGAAGACAGTCCTGGTGTGGCCATGGTCTCTCTGAAAACTTGCTGAAGTTCATGGATCAGGCTAACATTTAGTTACATTCTGTTCCCACAAAGGGGGGTGGGGTGGGGTGGGTGGGGACATTACTACCACACATTTCCTAGAATGAAAGAACAATTACCTGAATTAGAAGTCATCGGAAGGGAAGGATTCAGACCGGAATCACTACAACAACAAAACAGAAAACTTTAAATGTCATACTGAAAAAGGCAATTTCTAAAAACCTGGGTACAACTGTGTACCACCTGTCCGAGAGGTGCTTGCCAGTGGTACACTGAGAGACTGCTCTGTTATAGAGGGTGCCTCCCTGTCCCAAGCAGGAAAGGAAACAGTTTTGGGGGTAAGGGTTGTGCTGAGATTTGCTAAAAAGGGCTTTTGGCCTGGAATGACGCATGAATTATTCATGGGGAAAGGCGAGGAATATGATTCTCCAGAGAATTCCTGCCAAAAGATAGAGGGAAAGAGAAGACGTGGGTAAGAGATGGCAGCTAATCTCCCTTCCAACCCCCACCCCAACCTATCATAATTTCCTTTCTTCTATATCGAGGCCACCATTGGCTTGCATTATGGTATGTTTGAGGAGTGCTTTTACACCTCTTCTAAAGTTAAGCTGTCAGATCATACCCAACACCAAGGTGCCCAAAATCCCCCTACCACCATCTAATTGCCCCCCAATGCCTCCTGATTCTGGAACTCTCAGTTCTATAATCTGAACCAAAAGGCTGTTTTGACAGTTCTCTTGACTGATAGCCCATGAGTGAGATCTATCTTCTTTCTCCTTCCGACTGATTTCACTTAGCATGATACTGGCCAGGTCACTCAAAGTGACACAGTCCATCTTCTCATAGTCGAGGAACATCTATTATGCATAAACATTTGCACACCGAAACTTCTTTTCCCAGTTATTAATTGTTGGCACACTGTTGTTTTTTTTTTCCAGTGCTACTGTAAGCAGCACTGCAATCAACACAGAAATTCATGTCTCTGGTAGTGGTGGTGGGGGGGGGGGGGGCGGGGGGACTGCTTTGTTTTGTGATGCTGGAGATCAAACCCAGAGCCTCACGCACAAGGAGGGTTCTTTACTGCTGAGCTCTGTTCCTAGCCCTTGAATGTTTTTATATTTTTCAGGTAACACAGCCTGGAGTGGAACTGCTGGGCCTATGGTGAATCTATTATCATCTCCTGATTTCCAGAGAGGCCGGACCAGCCAGCTTTTCCACCAAATGGTCTAAGGGTTCCTTTTTCTCTACCACCAGACAATACTCACTGGTTTGTGCCTTTGAAATGCAGACTGCCGCACAAGAGTGAGGTGCCCTCATTGCAGCTTTAGTTTGTATTTCTTTGATAGTAAGTGATGTAAGTGATGATTAGCACATTTTCCTTTCCTTTTTTTTTTTCTTCTTTTTGGGTCACACCCAGCGATGCACAGGGGTTACTCCTGGCTCTGCACTCAGGAATCACTCCTGGCGGTGCTCAGGGGACCCTATGGGATGCTGGGAATCAAACCCGGGTCGGCCAGTGCAAGGCAAACGCCCTACCCGCTTTGCTACTGCTCCAGCCCCCTCTTTCTTTTTTTTAAGGAATTCACGAATTGTTAAAAAATAAGATCAAAATTTGTAAAACGGAATTCTAGGGGGATAGCTAGGTTTCTCCAAAACGGCTTAGTTATGGCACTGTTTCTGATTTAGACTGCACAAATGCTCTGGATTCTTCTGGATGGATACTCAGCCCGCTGTTAACCCAGCTGTCCAGGCGGGCTCTCGGTGGAAATGTCCGAGACCACAGACACTGGCCAAAGCAAGTGCGAGGAGGTTGGCCCCGGGACAAGTCACCCACATGTCGGCTTGGCGGCGCAGCCACTGCTGACAGGCGCTGCTGTCCTGGATGTACTGAAGGACCTCGGAGAGCATGGTGCGCTTGAGACGCTCCTCCTCACGCGTCTTCTTCAGATGATCATAAGTCCTGGCACCTGGCGGGGAGGGGAGGTGTAAAACATGAAGACGGCAGTGACATGGAGCTGGGTTAACAGAAAGGCCATCTGCGACACTGCAGCCGTGATGACCATTCTACAATGAAGGAGACAGGCCCCAAGGCGAAACACCTCTCATGAGCTGGAGAACTAGTACAAAGGTTATGGTATTTGCCTTACATGCAGCCTACCCTGGTTCAATCCCTGGTGCTGTATAGGGTCCGCTGAACACCCCCAAGCACTGCTGGGTGTGGCCCAAAACCCATCTTGCTCAGAGGTTACTCCTGGCTCTGTGCTCAGGAATCACTCCTGGATGTGCTTGGGGGAACATATGGGATGCCGGGATCCCAGATCAGCCGTGTGTAAGACAAGTGTCCTACCTACCATACTATCACTCCGGCATAAAACACCCTCTTAAGAAAATAGGAGAAATATTTTCTTTCTTTCTTCCTTTACGAAGTTTTTGTTTCTTAATGAAAAATCCAAACAAAAGTTTTTGTTTCTTAAAAAAAAAAAAAATCCAAACACCGTCTGCCAAAATACTTTTATCAGGCAGTGCTGGGGACTGGACTCAGGGACACATGAAAGGCAAGTGCTCAGCTACTGAGTTTATTCCTGCCTCTAAGTCACACGTTTTTAACACCACCACACTTCCTGTTTATTTTACCCCTCTTTACCTATTTTTTTTTTTTACAAAGTCATGGAGTACAACAGACACACACTCTTTCTTAAACACCAGTTCGAATTACAAATAAAACTTAAGTCCTCACTGACCAGTACTATGCCCTTCCCCCCCCCACACACACACTTTCCCAGAGGCACTGAACCATTATGAGGGGATCCAAACCAGGTATATCAAGGGGATTCAGATGCACCATGATACACAAAAGTCGCCTGCCATTCTCCACATGCTAAAAGGGCACAGGATCCAAAACACTACACCGGTTGGTTTCAAATCGTTCTACCAAGCCTGGGGAAACCATGACATGACGTCAGGGGTTTCTGTAGAGAACGGGCCACTGCTGCATACTGATGGCCCTGGGTGTCTCCCACGGCCTGGACACCCACACTTCAGCCACAGCAGTCCCGCTTTTACCTTACTGACAGATGAGGGCTGCACACAGAGGACTCTGCAAAACGAGCCTCGCCGTGACAATAAAGCGCCATTATTCTAGGTTGAGGCCACACCCTGGGGGCTGTCCGAGGCACAGCTACTTCCTGTGGGCAGGGGGTGGCAGCTTTCAACCAGAGGAAGGAGGGAATGCTGGAGGCCACGCCAACACCAACAACACAGCCACAGAGACTGCCAACGGCGGGTTGCTGTGTGCCAGGTATTGTGCTGTGTCTTCATGCGCTATCTCTAATTGAATCTTCAGACCTAATGCTTTGAGAGTTGGAAATTTGAAACTGAAACAGAACCACAGAGCTGGTAAACAGGGGAGTCAGAATTCAACCCCAAGGAGTCCAAGTCTAACTAAACCACAAGCCAGCGCTTGTGTAAAACACGCTTCCCTTCCTTATGGCCTGATTCTGCCACAGCTCCTCTTGGTCACTTTTAGCCTTAGTTCCTTCTTTAAATGGAAAGAGTAAGGCCATCCTTGTAAGGCTGCTAGGGAAGCAACTGAATAACCCATGTGAAATGCTCACCGTGGGCTGGTATGTTGTCAAGTGCTTTCAGACCTGGCTGCTGTTACTCTTTTATCGCTACTTCAAGTAACCCAGACACAACCACGTAGAGCTGGCTGAAGCCTAGCTCTTGAGACTCATCAGCCTATGCATCACGAAATGTTAAGGGCAGGAGCACTATTACAGCAGGTAAGGTGCTTGCCCTACATGCTGCTGACCCAGCTTCAATCCCTGGCACCTCAGATAGCCCCGAGCCTCACCAGGAGTGATCCCTGAATGCAGAGCCAGGAATAATCAGCTTTAAGCACAGCCAGGAGTGACTCCGAACAAACAAAATATAGAAATATCAATGGGGCCAGGGGTGGGGGGTGGCAAGGAACAGGTTCCATGACGAAAGCACTGCCTTGCAAGTACAAGGCCACAATCCAAGCCTCAGCACTGCTGCCTTGACTGCGGGGTCCTGCCAGTGGTCTCTGATGCGGAAGCCATTTCTGGCCACATCCCAGCCAGGTGCATGTTAGCAAACACACTGGGTTCAACGCCCCAGTCAGCACTGCATCTGAAAAAATGTGCCAAGGGTCAGGGCCACAGCTCAGTGGCAGAGCACTCTATGAAGCCTGGAGTCCAATTCCCAGCAGCACTGGATGGTTCCCCTGAGCACTGTACCGGGCTGTGGCTGAACCCGAGCACTGCTAGGCACGGCCCCCCAAATAGACAAAATGAAAACACAAGTACTAATCTTTGCTGAGACACCAAGCCATGAAAATTCCAGGTAGACCAGTTTTCAGGCTGAGAATACTGGGGTCTTTTTGGCATTGGGTTAGGGACCTCCCCCAACCCCCCATTACATTCACAGCTCCAGAAGCCCCAGCAGCCTCACTTGAATCCCACAGTTGCCACTGCAGCCAACTCATCAGCCCAGTTCTACCCATGCACACCTCTAAATTCCACAATACTGACAGCCCAGTAGGAGCCCACCAAATTAGACAAGAAAGTAACATAGAAGCTAACTTACTTCAATGACTGAAAACAGTAACAGAAGCCTCAGCTACCAACCAATAGCTTAGTCAAACATCAGTGAGACAGAACAATTTTCACAAATTTTGAAGTTTTGTTTTTGTTTTTTTTTTTTTGGGGGGGGGGGGCGGCCATACTTGGTGAAGCTCAGGGGTTACTCCTGGGTCTGCACTCAGGGATTATTATTCCTGGTGGTGCTCAGGGGACCATATGTGATGACGGATCAAACCCGAATAGGCCGCATACAAGGCAAATTCCCTACCTGCTGTATTATCGCTCCAGCCCCTATTAAGTATTTTTGATGATTCCTCTAGCCATTCGGTTGTAACAAGCAATATAAGATAAATTATTGTGTGCCCTTGAAGGGGGCAGACTTGGGGTGGGGTGGGGTATTGGGAAAACGGGGACAAAAGTAAGAGAATGTCACTCTGGTGGTGGGCGTGGTGTGAGAACAATGAATGCCTGAAACGAGTGAATTAGGTACAACTTGGTAATCCACGGTGTTTAAACAAAGTCAAAAAAGAAAAAGACAAGACATGTGAGCCCCGTGGCCAGGAGTGCAAATCCATGGGGAGCACATCTGAGCCCCACAAGTGAAGTGTGTGACCCTCAGCACTACAACCAGAATGGTCGGGAGTGCCCCCATCATAGCAGGACTCTCCGCAGCAAGGACCAGGAGGGCCAGCACTGTGGCAGCAAGGGCGCCACACATCAACACACGGGGGGCAGGAGGAGAGCACTTTCAGATGATCAAGGCTGAAAACTAGACTGGAAAAATCCTTTAGAGACCACGGGCTCAGATGAAACCCAAACCAGCACCTGCTTTCTGTCATGGATTTTATTTCACTTCCTGTTTCACAAAAAAATTTACAAAGAATAGAGGCATCTCTTTCCTTATCTTTCTTTTTTTAAATTTTTTAAAAGTTTTTGGAGAGGTCCACACCTGGCAGTGCTCAGGGCTTATTCCTGGCTCTGTGCTCAGGGAACCGTATGGGGTGCTAGGCCACATGCAAGGCAAGCACCCTGCCTGCTAGACTCTCTCTCCAGCCCCAGAACGGAGGCATCTTTACTAGGAGGAGTGCGAGCTTTCCTTTCTGAAGAAGGAAAGCCCTTTTGAAGACGCCCCCAGCACTCATGGATACGTCTCTTTGTATCTTGCCCACCCAGCGTGCGCAGTCTTCACATACGTACTGCAGAAATTGGTGATGCCCGCGGTCCGGTATTCCTGGAGTCTCTTGATTTCTCTTCGGAGTTCAAATTCCACTAGTTCCCCCGAAAGAAGCACAAAGAAAAAAAAAATCAACATCAATGAACACTTGCTATTCGGTAATTCTGCTTTTATAGCAAAGACTGGGCAATCCCACTAGGGAGAAGCCCTCTTTGTTGCAGGCGTCTGACAATCTGAGCCCGGAGTTGAGAGGAACCTACTCCAGAATCTGCTTTCCCACCGCCATGTGCAGCTGGAGAAAGCAGCTGGCACTGTCTCTCAGTGAACAGGCTGAAACCACTTCCCTACAGGAGCAACAAATGCAACTTAAAATTTTATGGATCATTTACTTGGGCAGGAGGTTCAGGCAGCATCACCAGTCACTCCTGGTAGTGCTCAAGGGACCCCGTGGGGCTGGGGATAAAATCAGAATAGGCTGCATGCAAGGCAAGCACCTTAATCCCTGTACCATCTCTGTGGCCTAACAGTTTTTTTTTTTTTGAGGGGGGGAACCATAACCAGCAATGCTCAGGGCTTACTTTTGGCTGTCCTGGCAATGCTCAGGGATTACTCCTAGTGGGACTTGGGGGATCATATGGGGTGCCAGGGGATTGATTCAGATCAGCTGTGTGCAAGTCAAGCACCCTACATCTGTTTATATGCTCTGGCCCCTTAAAATATATATATACATATATATGCATATAAGTTTTGTAAATATATAAAATATATACATATAGGTTTGGAAACCATACCCAGCGGTGCTCAGGGGACCATATGGGGTGCAGAAATTGAACCCAGGTCAGCTGCATGTAAGACAAGAATCCTGCCTGCTGTACTATTGCTCTGGCCCCAGAAATATAATTATTTGAACAATTATGTTTCCTTGTCTGCTTGTCCTTATTACAAGATCTATCCTACTAAATTCTTTTAGCAAGTCTGTCTCTGGTACTGCTGGATGTGGACTTCTGGCCAGGGAGAGTCAAAGGCTCTGTGGACAAGTCCTGGGTAGCCACTTTATAGCTTTTCTCCTACGAAAACAAAAAAGCAATGTTTTCTCTAAGCCCAAGACTTCTACTTTTTCTGAGAACACAGAGCAGGCTGCATTGCTGGGGTTATCAGGAAATACACATTCAAGTTGGTGACTTGATTTTTTTGTTTATTTTGGTGGTGCTCAGGGCTTACTCCTGGCTCTGCACTCACGGGGGATCACTTCTGGTAGTGCGCGGAGACCATACAGTGTACCAGGAATTGAGCCCAGGTTGGCTGCATGAGAGGCAAACGCTCTGCTCACTCAGCCCCAAGTCAGTGACCTGAAACAGGATGAAAGCAGAACTTGGGCAATCATCAATGGGGCGTAGTTCTTCGGAGTAACACATAAATCAGGGAAGACATAAATTCAGATTGGAATGAAACTGGGACTGGAAATAAAGGCTCAGCCACCCAGCATGATCCACACAAAGAAGACCAACCCGACAGCATGTGATGTCATGTAAGAACTATCTGCATGATGAGCAAGACAAGGGCCATGGGACTGGAACTCCTTGGAACAAAATCTGGGAGACAACTATGCCTCTCGGGATGGAAGGCACATTTCTGGTATATCTTTGCCTACCAGTCCAGTGTTTTAAAGTCTACATCTTCCTGACTGAATAACTTCATTTTTTCAGGTGAAAAAAAAAATCAAATGATAACTGGGTAAAGTACTCTGGAAGGCAGAAAACAAAACAAAAGAAAAAGAGTGATCAAAGTACTCTCATGAGTACTTTCTCATTTCTGTTCTCATTTTAAAGGTAAAGGTAAAGGTAAAGGCCCTCCCGTTGATCGTCGATTTGCTCGAGCGGGCCCAGTAACGTCTCCATTGGAGACTTTGTTGTTACTGTGTCTGGCATATTGACTACTCTCGGTAGCTTGCCGGGCTCTCCGAGAGGGGCGGAGGAATCGAACTCGGGGTCGGGGCTGGAGCAATAGCACAGCGGGTAGGGCGTTGGCCTTACAAGCGGCCAACATGGCCAACCCGAGTTCGATTCCTCCGCCCCTCTCGGAGAGCCCGGCAAGCTACCGAGAGTATTCGATATGCCAGACACAGTAACAACAAAGTCTCCAATGGAGACGTTACTGGGCCCGCTCATTTTAAAAATTAGGATAAATGCTTAAATGTTTATTAAAAAAAAACATAGCTAGAATTTGCCTCAAAACAGTATAGGTAAGGCCAGAGAGCAAGGCATTTGCCTTACACATGGCCAACCCTGGTCTAATTCCCAGCACCACATGTGAATCCATAAGAACCCCCGAGAGCCCCGCCAGGAGTGATCCCTAAACACAAAGCCAGAAGTGAACCCTATGCACAGCCACACAAGACTTAAAAACAATAACAAAAAAACAAAAACAGGTAAAGTCAGGAAGGAACTGGATGCGTGAAGATGAAACCAGATGGGTTATATATAGTCAACAATACTTCTGAATATATTTGAAAGCTCCAAATAAAAAGTGGGCTGGCTGGAACAGAGAGACAGCACGGGTTTTTAAGGGACTTGTCATGCAGGATTTGATTCCTGGAATCATATGGTCTCATGAGCACAGAGCTGCGAATATCCCCAGAGCACTGCTGGGTATGGCTCCAAAACTGAAAAATAAATAAAAGGTGGAGGTGAAGGGCCTGATAAATTACTATTTAACTGGGAACTAAAAAAGACATTCTACTCTCAACCCCTAATGATCCAAATTTATCTCATGGGAATAAAGGGGAATCACAGAGATTTTTAAAAAATATATATATATATTTATTTACAAAACTTTTATATAAAAACACAAATATAAGTACTTGCTTAAGACTCAAAAACCACCTACATGCATGGCTTTCAATGAATTTGTCATGTTCCACTGGACCCACAATCCTTGCAAATCGCCTCATAGTTTCATAAAGTTCTTGAACCTCTTTGGGATACCGCCGTTCCATTACTGCAGAGAAAGTAAAGAACAACTACGTTACAGAGGACATAAGGATCCCTAGTTTCCTGAATTTCTTTTTTTTTTGGTAAGTGAAATGGAAGGACATTATTCCTAACCTCACATGACTAACTTACCCATGACAGGAAGCAAACAGGAAAGCGACGAATTGCAAAACACTAATCATAATGATAACAGCATCACGGTAACTATCACATAGGGCTGCTGTTATCATGGGGCTCATCTGTCCTCTGAGCACCCCGGTGACCTCACACCTCAAGGTCTCTAATCCTACATAGGAGCAGGAACTGGCCAGTGACAGGAAAGCCAGTTAATGAAGATCCTGCATCCTCAGAACAAGGTTGGGACAGATCTCGGCATTAATTTATACAAAAAAAAAAAAAAAAAAAAAAAAAAAAACCAAGAGAAACGCAAACACGATTTGAAGCGGTCTACTATCCGGAAACAAGTATGTGATTTCTGCCCCAAACTCTTTCCCCTATTTACACATTCTTGCATGGAACCTTCATTTGTTCATTCTCCATATGGATCATTTATACAGGTCTAAGCTGTATTAAGTACCACAATTTAATTTACTGCAAACGATACTGTATTTGGCAACTATCAAAAAGGTCAGTGGTTACCTAAGCTGGGACAGTAAGCATCAGCAATCTTGAGCATCACTATTTACCAAATATATAATAAAAAGAGGCATCAATGAGAAAGATGGGGCGTGACACCTACCAATAATGACAGAGAGTGGAGGGACTGGGAACTCTTGGGATGCTGTTCCTTAGTCATTTCCATCTTTGTTTGTGGGGGTGGGAGGATCACACCCAGTGACGCTTTGGGCTTATGCTTGGTTCTTAGGGATTACTCTTGGGGGGTGCTCGGGGGACCAAATGTGGTGTCAGGGATAAAACTCAGGTCCGTCACACCCAAGGAAAGTGCCCTAATCACTGCACTATTTCTCCAGCCCCAGTCATTCCAATGTATAATCTATAGGAACCAAGCTAGTTTGGTCTACTCAACGATATAAGCTTTTGCTTAAGGACAGTTATTTAAATTGTCTTCCTTCTAAGTTAACCTATTCCCTCGCAGGAAACATTCTTGTCCACAAATTCCAGAGGCTGGCTTGGGACATAGCTCAGAGGTAAAACAAACACTTCCCCTGCATAAGGCCCTGGGTTCAATCCCTAACACCTCAAAGTAAATAAATAAATAAATTCCAGGAACCGGCTTGATGATCAGCCAAAGATTATTTTCACAATAAAGATAAAAAACAAACAAAACCTTAAAAGAGGAATAATAGAAGAATTTATCACTATGGATAAACGGGAGACCAAACACCCCCAAATCCTAAGTATAGACAGAGCTTTAGTCACAAACAACTTCATTACACACTTATTATTAAAGAAATAAAAAGTATGTTAAGATCTAATAATAAAAGATAGTCTAAACATATCATACACATATAAACATAACATATTCTCTATTAAAAAGTGATGTCCTCAGCATTCCATCTCAGAATCGCTCACATCCCCCACTGGACTTATTGTTCCTTTTTTTAACTTATTTTATTTCATGGGCTTTCTCCCTCTGGAGAATTCTTCATTTTCTATTGAGTATGTTGCCTTTTCTTCTCACCTTTAAATAAAATTTTGTTACTTAAAAAAAAAAAGACATCCTCAAAATTCCACAGTAACTTGAACATGTGTAATGAAAAGTCCAAAAAATATAGGACACTCTTACGATCACAACTATATAAAAAGGCATTAATTTCTGTTACTGGATAACACGAGCCCTGGAATGGCACAGTGTCAAACCTAGATGAGGGAGCTGAAATGACAGTACCATGGGTAGGGCGCTTTCCTTGCATGCAAGGGTTTGATCCCCAGCATCCCATATGAATTCCAGAGCACTGACAGGAGTAATCCCTGAACATCGCTGGATGTGAACCAAAACCAAAACCAACAAATACACAAACAATAAAAACCCTATATGAGTTGATAAACAAGGCACATACAGGGGTGGTGAGACAGTACAGGGGTGAAGCATTTCATCTTGCACACCGCCAACCCCCATTTGATCCTCCAGCCCTTCAAGGACTGATCCTTGGGCACAGAGCCAGGAGTAAGCCCAGAGCATTGCCAAGTGTGGTCCCAAGCAGTCCAAAATAAAACCTTAAAATAAAAATAAAGGGACTGGAGTGATAGCAGAGCAGGTAGGGATCTGCCTTGCACGCAGCCAACATGACCAACATAGGTTCGATTCCCAGCACCCCATATGGTCCCCTGAGCACCGCCAGGAACAATTCCTGAGTGCATGAGCCAGAAGTAACTCCTGAGCATCGCCGGGTGTGACCCAAAAAGCAAAAAATAAATAAATAAATAAATAAATAAAATAAATAAAAATAAAAACCGAGGACATGAACAATAACCATTAGGTATTTTCACAAGACAGTTATGGGGTTGGGAGATAGCACAGGGCTAAGACACGTGGTCCTGCATGAGGCCAACCCTGACTGATTCCCCTGCATCACCTTGGTTCCCCTGAGCACAGCTGGGGGTCAGCTTCTGAGGACCACTGGGTGTGGACCAAACCCCTTCCACTCCAAAAAAAAAAAAAAAGAGTATTTTGACAACGTACTATCACAAACATTTTTACAAATATTAGTTATTATGAGATGTTTCAGTTTTTTTTTGGGGGGGGTGAGGGGAGCAGGGTTCAAGCTGGTGGAGCAAGTGGCTGTTGCTATGCTCACAGCTCGGGGGACCATGTGGTGCCAGGGATCAAACCTGTAGCTTCCGCGCGCGAAGCACATGCTCTAGCCCTGTGAGCCATCTCCCTGTCCTTCAAAGATCATTCTTGTTTGCTAATGGAAATCTACTTTTTTGATTGTTTTGTTTTTGTGGTTTTTAGGCCATACCTGGTAATGCTCAGGATCACTCCTGGTGGGGCGTAAAGGTAAAGGTAAAGGTAAAGGCCCTCCCGTTGTTCGTCGATTTGCTCGAGCGGGCCCAGTAATGTTTCCATTGGAGACTTTGTCGTTACTGTGTTTGGCATATCGAAAACGTCAGGGGAGCTTGCCAGGCTCTGCCGTGCGGGCGAGATACTCTCGGTAGCTTGCCGGGCTCTCCGAGAGGGGTGGAGGAATCGAACTCGGGTCCGCCATGTTGGCTGCGTGCAAGGCAAACGCCTTACTGCTGTGCTATCGCTAGGGGACTATATTGGGGTGCTGGGAATCAAACCCAGGCAAACTCCCTACCTGCTGTACTATCACTCCAGCTACGTATTTGCTTTATTTTGGGACCACACCCAAAACTTACTCCTGGCTTTGTGCTCAGGGATCACTTCTGGTAAAGATTGGAAAACCACATGGAGTGCTAGGAATAGAACCTGGGCTGGCTGCATGCAAGCAAAAGCATTACCTGCTGTACTACATTATAGTTAGAAGTAGAAGAAGAACAAGATTTTGTCTAGTCTAGACAATTCCAATATATAAGATTTTAAAGTTAGCATTCATTGAAAATTCAGAAGTTTATTATCAACATCACATAATGTTAAATGTCATTTAATTTGCCCGTTACCATAAGAAATAAATTTCTAATTTTTCTATAAAGATATCTGTAAAATTTTGGGAGCTGGAGCAATAGTACAGCGGGTAGGGCGTTTGCCTTGCACGCGGTTGACCCGGGTTTGATTCCCAGAATCCCATATGGTCCCCTGAACATGGCCAGGAGTAATTTCTGAGTGCAGAGTCAGGAGTAACCCCTGAGCATCACTGAGTGTGAACCAAAAAAGGAAAAAAAAAAGATATTTGTGAAATTTCATAATGAAGTTTATATCATGCTTAACAAATGATTCTAGGTGTTCTAATGATCCACTATTATTCACATAATTTTTTTTTTTTTGCTTTTTATTTTTCAGTACTGTTGCACTGTCCTCCTGTTGTTTATCTGTTTGCTTGAGCAGGCACCAGTAACGTCTCTACTATGAGACTTGTTTCTGTTTTTGGCATATCGAATATGCCACGGGGAGCTTGCCAGGGTCTGCCAGGCTCGAGCAGGATACTCTTCTAAGCTTGCCAGGCTCTCCGAGAGGGATGGAGCGATAGCACAGCGGGTAGGGCATTTGCCTTGCATGTGACTGACCCGGGTTCGATTCCTCGGTCCCTCTCAGAGAGCCCGGCAAGCTACTGAGAGTATCCTGCCCACATGGCAGAGCCTGGCAAGCTCCCTGTGGTATATTTAATATGCCAAAAACAGTAACAAGTCTCACAATGGAGATGTTACTAGTGCCCGCTCGAACAAATCGATGAACAAAGAGAGGACAGTGCTACAGTGCTTTTAATTTTTAATGTAAATGAAAGCCACAACTGTTGATTGAACTCTAGAATAAAAACTGATTAGATAACAAAGCTCCAACTCAGTAAGTTTAAAAATCAATTTTTTATGTTTTTTGCTTTTTGGGTCACACCCGGCCACGCACAGGGGTTACTCCTGGTTCTGCACTCAGGAATTTCTCCTGGCAGTGCTTGGGGACCATATGGGATGCTGGGAATAGAACCTGGGTTGGCCGCATGCAAGGCAAACGCCCTTCCTGCTGTGCTATCACTCTAGCCCCTAAAAATCATTTTTTTTTTCTTTTTGGGTCACACCTGGCATTGCACAGGGGTTACTCCTGGCTCTGCACTCAGGAATTACTCCTGGCGGTGCTCAGGGAACCATATGGGATGCTGGGAATCGAACCCGGGTTGGCCGCGTGCAAGGCAAACGCCCTACCCTTTGTGCTATTGCTCCAGCCCCAAAAATCAATTTTTTAAATATGAAAACTGTTAAGAGTTTACCATTGGATGGCTAAGATTTTGTTTTAGGATTTACTAAGCTGTATGTTGCTAGTTCTAATTGGTGCCAATAATAATTTTATTATTCATATAATTTTTAAAGACATTCTCAGGAAACATTAAGTATCTATTAATGCTCTCGACTCTCTTCACATATCAGGATTTCCCTGACTCTTCTGCAGAGGTGAGGGGGACTGTGTCACACCCGGCAATGCTCAGGGGCTACTCCTGGTTATGTGCTCAGGTGTCATTCCTGGTGGTATTTGGGGAACCATGTGCAACCCTGGGGCTTGAACCTGGGGCAACAGCATGTTTGAAAAGTTCCTTAACCACCATCTCTCTGCACCTGAAGCCTCCTTGTTTTTTCTTTTCAGGATACCCGGTGGGGATGCGCAGAGGCACTGCCCAGCAGTGTCCCCACCATGTAATCAGCCCACTGAGTCACCTCTGTGGCCCATCTGGAAGTCTTTAAAAAAAACCAAAACCAAAACAGGCCCAGGAAGGGAGCTCAAAGGGCTGTAGCACCTGCATTCCACACAGAAGGCTCAGGTTCTAGCCATGACCCGGACCATATGGTAACCTGTCACTGTCACTGTCCTCCTGTTGTTCATCGATTTGATTGAGCGGGCCCAGTAACTTCTCCATTGTGACAAGTGTTACTGTGTTTGGCATATCGAATACGTCATGGGTGGCTTGCCAGGCTTTGCCGTGAGGGCGAGATACTCTCAGCAGCTTGCCGGGCTCTCCGAGGGGGGCGGAGGAATCGAACTCGGGTCGGCCATGTTGGCCGCTTGCAAGGCAAACGCCCTACCCGCTGTGCTATCGCTCCAGCATGGTAACCTAAAAAAACCAATAAAGTGATTCCTAAGCAACACACTGGGAGTAGTCCCTGAGCACAACTAGATGTGGCCCCAAGCTCAAAAGTAAGTAAGTAAATAAAAAAATAAATACATGAAAAGGGGTCAGAGACAAAGTACAGGGGTGACACTTGCTCTGCAGGTAGAAGACCTGGGTTCCATCCCCAGCGCCACCTATGGTCCCCTGAGCACTGCCAGGAATGACCCCTGAGCATAGCCAGGTATGGTCCCAAATAACACCCCCCCCAAAAAAAACCCAAAAAATAAATTCAAATGTAGATATTTCAACTCTATCCCCAGAGATAATGATTTAATCAGTTAACACCCCAGGATCAGAACTTTATTTTATTTATTTATTTGCTTTTTGGGTCACACCCGGTGACGCACAGGGGTTACTCCTGGCTCTGCACTCAGGAATTACTCCTGGCGGTGCTCAGGGGACCATAGGGGACGTTGGGAATCGAACCCGGGTTGGCTGAGTGGAAGGCAAATGCCCTACCCTCTATGCTGTTGCTCCAGCCCCTAGCATCAGAATTTTAAATGTTAGCCAGGTGACATTAAAATGAATTTGGCTTACGAACTACAGCAATAATGACTGTCAAAAACTATTCAGTGAAAGTGTAAAACTATATTCCCAAAACATGGAGTGTTGTAAGCAAAAGAAAACCAATAAATCAAAATGATTAAAAAATGCTGGAAGAAAAATTTAAGTACAAAGAATATAGCTGATACTTACACTGAAACTTTCTAAGGTTGATCAATCCATGGTCTCGAATAATTCTAGAAAAAAAAATCACAGTTATCTGTTTATTACAATTAGCTTCGTATTTCGTAATGTCTTCCACAAGCTGCTTTACCAGGCCCGGAGCCTTGCCATCTGCTTTGCCACTCAAGACACATCTCTGGTCTCACAGGCAAGTTATTCTTTTGTTTGTTTCTGGGCCACACCTGGCGGTGTTCCAGGCTTACTTCTGGCTCTGCACTCAGGGATCAGTCCTTGCCGACTCAGGTGACTATATAGTGTGGCTGAGGATCAAACCTCAGTTGGCTATGTGCAAGATGAGCACCCCACCTGCTGTACTCTCTCGCTAGTCCCTCCACAGCAGTTTTTATTAGATATCGGAGGCACTTTGAGGGGAAATACTGGTCTGAAGAAGTCACCACCCACAAACTGTGGCGGGCGCGCAAGTCACGAACCTAATTTTCAGCTGTCAAGCACCACACATTTTGTTCTCCTTGTGCACAGCTCTCAGAATTTGCTGGGTGAATGAATAAGTTGATGAGAACACACAAATACTAAAAAAACACATGTCGGCTGCTTAAGATGAAACAGAAGGGAATGTGTTCCTATGTCATAGAAATTAATCTATTCAGTTTAGGAAAATGATAAAATTGAGACCTGCAGTTTAAGAGAAATCTGTTAACGATAAAAGGGCAGCATAATCACACATTCAACACTTACAACTACACATTCATAATACGCTTTGAAGCCATTTGAAAAAAAAAATCGCACATACTTAATGAAAAGGCAACACAAAGTATAAGTTCTGGGGGTGGAGAAATAGTACAGTGGGTAGGGTGTGGCCTTGCACGCAGCTGATCTGGTTTCAGTCCCTGGCACCACATCTGGTCCCCTACTTTGGCCGGAGTGATCTCTGAGCACAGAACCAGGAATAAACCGTGAACACAGCTGGATGTGGGTCAAAAAACAAACAAACCAAACCAAAACCTCTAATATCAACTTCCAGTCCCTTCTTTTTATTCTCGAGAGAGCAGTCTCAAACTGGAAAAATGTCCCCTTTGCACCCCTCATAATCTAAGTGTATACCCTTCTCTGAACTGATACAGTCTTTGCCAGGGTCTGAGATCCATCTCAGTATATATTTGTTTGGAATTTTTAAGAAATTATTTTAGATGAAACACTTGTTACAGAAAATGTGAGATGATATGAACCACAGAATCTCAATTCTTAAAAAAATGTGGCACGGGGCACAGAGAGAGAGTACAGGAGCGAAAGTGCTTGCCTTACACGCGGCCAACCCCAGTTTGATCCCTGACACTGTATATGGTTCCATGGGTATCACCAGAGGAGAACCCTGAGCAGAGCTAGTAATAGGTCCTGAGCACCACTCCAACCCTCAAAAGTGAGACTGGGGGATCACAGCCCATTGGTAGAGTGCCTATTTTGCAAGTATAAGGTTCTGGATTCAATTCCGAGAACCTCACATACACAAAGTGGACATATAATTCCCACTAGATGGAAAAATGGAATCCAAGGAGGGTAAGTATCTTCCACAAGAGCACAAGATATGCCACAAGCAGAATGTTCTTATGAACTATATGTGGTCAAAAATCCAAAACTGAAAGAAAGCAGAATGGTTTTCTATACTTACTTTTTCCGCCTCTGTCTCTCCTTTAACCGGGAATGATAGATATCTACTACAGCCATCTTCAGAGCTACAAGCAAACAGAATCAGATGAATAAGTAGAACAGCAAATATGAATAAAACCAGAAGAAAAATAACTTTCACCCAAACTGTTCTAAATTTTGAACCTTATTCCATACTCACGTAGGTCCAGAAAATTTGTTTTTTTGTTTGGTTTTGGGGTCAAACCCGCTGTGCTCAGAGCTTACTCCTAGCTCTGTGCTCAGGGATCACTCCTGTAGGGCTTGGGGAACCATATAGACTGTTCAGGATTGAGCTTGGGTTGGACACATGCAAGGCAAGCGCCCTATCTCTCTAGCCCCACAAATTTGTATTTCTGGATATAAAATCTCAGAATACTCAGTTTCATATCAGCAAGTTACAGTGAAGTTCTTTTCCTATATATGTACCCCTCATCCTGCAGACAATATTTTTTACCCTTTTCTTCTATCTCTTTCAGCTGTCAGGATTACTGACTTTCAAAGGACAATTCAGTCAGCAGTCTGAACTCTGTAATTAATACATCTGCTAAGGTAGCCATTAAAGTGAACTGTGATCGTAACTGTACAAGAGTAAGCTTAGTAGACAATGTCAAGACAAGACTGATGTGAATAGAGGGTGGCACAGACATTTCTCCCATTGATACCTTAGGAGAAATCAGCTTGTGGGGGGCGGGGGGCAGCAGCTAACAACCATCTAGGGAACAGTTTGGTATCTGGTAGTGGTAAGTTTCAATTAGTCTAAGAAATTCCCAAGCTGCGCGTGCTTGGCTGTCCATGTCCTGATCCTTTCCTGGTTACAGTCTCACAGTAAAGACATGGCAAAGAACCATGGCTGGGGGTAGGGGGGTGGGTGCAGGGTGGGGGTTAGAACTGGATTCCAGGCAACGAATGACATGGTCCCCAAGTGTAGTGCCGGGGCAAATCCTGAGCCCTAACCTCAAGCACTGCAGGTATGGTCCAGAGAGGAGGAGGAGGAGGAGGAAGGAGAGAGAGAGAGAGAAAGAGAGAGAGAGAGAGAGAGAGAGAGAGAGAGAGAGAGAGAGAGAGAGAGAGAGGTCACCCCTGAGAACAGAGCCAGAAATAACCCCCGAACACCACCAGGGATGGCCCAATCTCCCACCCCCCCACCTGTAGAAGTCACTTTCATGTGAGCAGCAAGAGTTGAACAATGTATAATCCCACTGCATTGTCAATATGGTAGCCTTGGAATGATATAGAAATAAATTCTAGATGCTCCACTCTAACTCATCACTATGCATCTCAATTGCTATCTGTCTTTAAGATATCTAAGATGAGAAGAAAGAAATACCCAAATTTAAAAATGCTGGGCATTAGAAATGGCATTTTGAGAAACTAATCTTAAAAAGAATGGTGATCGCTCAATCTTCTTAGGGGGGGACCAGTCTATAGGCTGAAAACTCTGGGGTCTTCTTGGAATGGGGGCGGGCTATCTCCCCAATCAGGAAAGCGAGCGGTCGCCACCCACACCTACTGTCTTGTCAGCAGAGAAATGGCCCAGCTCCACAACTAATCTCTAAAAGAATTGATGCCGCTGACTTCCCAGGTAGACTGGTCTGGGCTGAGGACTCTGGGGCCCTCTCGAAATGGGGGCGGGCAGATTTCCCTTTCAGTCGGAAGACACAGCCCCCCATAGCCATTCCCAACACCCTCCAACACAGAAACAGCCCAGCTCCACAACTGAACCTCATCAAACTGCCAAGCCACCAAACTTTCAGATCTATAGCTTCTGTACCGTATGGCTGCATTCGCATCCCAAATTTCATGGTACTGTCAGCCCAGTAGGACCACAGCAAAGCTGATGGAAAAGTTGCACTGAAGACCACCAAGACCACTAAACAGTAACAAGGCTCGACTAGCACGAACTAGACCAGGAGATCCCCAGACAATGACTTTAGGAACACCACTGTGAGATCTATTATCACAAAGTGACTCTTATTAATCTAAGTTTCGATAATTTGTATTTGTGTTATGACAAACAATACGAAGTAAATTTGTTTGTGCCTACAAGGGGAGCAGCCTGGGGTGGTAGGTGGGAAACTTGGGACGTTATTGGAGGGAAAATAACACTGGTGGTGGGACTGGTGTTGGAACATTTAATACCTGAAACAATTGTATTATGAACAACTTGGTAAATCACATCATATAATAACAAATTTTTTAAAATTCTAAAGTAAAATGCTGGGTGAGGGATCAGAGCAGTAGTACAGTAAAAAGGGCACTTGCCTTGCACGTGGCCAACCCAGGTTTGATCCCTGGCACTACATATGTTCCCTGATCCCATCCGGAGAGATCCTTAAGCTCAGAATCAGGAATAAGCCCTGAGCACTGCCAGGTATGGCCCAAAATACAATAAATAAACTGATACATAAAACAAAATACTAGGCAAACAGCAAAAGTACTAATTCTGTACAAATCCTGGAAAATGACCTACAAAACTTTTCCACCTTGGGGCTGAAATATACATAACCTATATTTTAGCTAGATGATCTTAAAGGGCAAGTGAATATAACACTTTTAAAAGTTTAAGTACTGGGCTGGCAGGGCAGTCCACATGCTTTGTGTACAGAAGACCCAGGTTTGATCCCTGGCACTGCACTGTCCCCCGAGAACTGCCAGAAATAACAAGCCTGGAGCAACAAGCAACAAGAGCAACAAGCCTCTGAGCACTGCTGGATAAAACAAAAATAAGAAAAAGAAAAAAAAAATTAACCACCATGAGTGACAATGATTGTATTTTTGGTTCTATACCCAATAGTGTTCAGGAACTACTCTTGTCTCTGTGTTCAGGGCTTGCTCCTGACAGCAAGTGCTCAGGAGACCATGTGGTGCCGGGAATTGAACCAAGGTCTCCTGGATACAAAGCTCATGCTCCATCCAGTCTGTTATATTATCTTCTGTCTCCCACCATGAATTACCTTTAGAATTCCCCTTCCTACTTTTTCTGTTGTTATGATGAACAAGTGTTGCAAACACATGGTTGTGTTGCTTTTACACTAGGCTGCAATGCTTGCACACATACTTGATGGCAGTGTGCTGGGGCTCACACACTTCAGTGTGGCCTCATGGACCTCAAAGCAGAACCCCAGGGGAACAAGTTCCAACCTCAGTGTACATGGGGTGGTGCCAGGTATTCAACTAAAGGCCTCAAACTTACAATGCAGGTACCACTGAGCCAGCCCTGAGTCCCCTCGAATAAATTTTGGGGGGTTAATTTCTAATAAGTTAAAAGATGTGACCATTATTGTGTGTGAGGGAGGAGGGGCAGGGGCTGGGCCAGCTGGTGGTGCTCAGAGGACCATATGTGGTGCCAGGTTGGGTCTGCGATGAGCATCATGCACAGCAAGTGTCCTAACCGTTGTACTATCTCTCTCCACCCCAAGTTCAGAAATGTGAATAACATTGTTCCAATTTACCTCAACACTACTTGCATTAGTTGATCCATGTAAATGCACACAGCCCACCACTGTTCTGCAATAAAACTGCTTAATACTCTGCTGATGGAAATGAGCACTGCATGCCTATGTGATCATCACAGAAGGCAGAGAGAGGAAGGAGTGGACCACTAACATCCAGTATAACCGAAAGACATGAACTCTTTGTTTTGGGGCCACACCTGGCAGTACTCAGGGCTTATTCCTGGTTCTGTGCTCAGTGATCACTTCTGGTGGTGCTTGGGAGATCAAATGCAGTGCCAGAAATGAACTGAGGTCAGCCATGTGCAAGGCCCTACACACTGTACTATCTCTTCAGCCGCTACAATTTCTTTTGAGAAATACAATTAGGAAGCCAACAGTTCAAGATAGAAAGAGAAGCAAATTCAATGGCTAATAGCTAAAATACACCAAAGACTTATCAAGCCCCATGCTCTTTACACACCCTCTTTCACTTACCCATCCAATAAGAGTTCAACAGGAAAGGAAATCCTTAAAGATCAAGCAAAAATTACTGCCAATTTTGACAAAATATTTCTCCAACTGCTCCAAAACACTAACTTATCATGCTGTTTCCTGATATTTGTGTGGGGATGGTTTAATTAAAGCATAAAAACACTAACAAGAAAGTGTTACCAAAAACAAACTATGAATAAATACTGCAGGTCACACTCTCTAATCATTTCAGTCATTCAGACTTGTACAACTGGCCTGGAAAACAGTGGGAAGGGAAGGCGCACCCTGAAGCAAATATAAGAGCCAGAGTTCTACAGGGGAAAAGAAAAGTCGAGTCCGAGTCTCTTTCTTTTTTAAAAAGGGGCACTCAGAGAACTGCTGCTGATTATACAGTCTCCAAGCAAGAAGACCAGGAGGACCAGAGGACATCAGGCAGAAGAGAAATGTGAAGGCAAACACTGCCGGAGTGAGTTTCCATTCTACTTAAAACGACTAGAGGTTCTGTTAGACACACACACACACACACACACACACACGAGGTTCTGTCAGACACACACACACACAAGGTTCTGTCAGACAGACAGACACACACACACACACACACACACAACAACAACCATAACCTAACCATTCACTCAGCCCTTGAAACTCAACTTTGGGAGAGGAAAGGATTCCAGGTGGTGACACTGGAGACGGATTACCACGTTCCCAATGGTTCCCCTTAAAATATTTTCAGAAGTGGGCAGAAGTCAGAGGCAGATCCTTCCCACTGCAATGTATTTCTAACATTGTTCAAAATAGCTGGCAACATGTTTCTGTTTTCCTGACAGAAGGCACTTACTGCTTGCTTGGCAAGAATACCAACTCTTCACTGCAGGGAAACCGATCAAAATCCTGCTGCGGCCACACAAGCAGAAATACTTGTGTGACTCAGGTATTTCCCAGAAGCAAAGCTATCATTTCTTCCCAAGATTTTGGCCAAGATTTATACCATTTAGTTTTGTGAAGAAAAGATCAACCAAGTGAGCTAACTGGAAGCTTTAGGCAAGTTAACATTTCTGTGAAATTCCCTAAATGTGAAATGAGAAAGGTTGTTTCCACTTCTTAGGTTAAGAAAATGA